AAATTTTATTTATGACAAGTGTTGCCACATTATTATTTAGATGTATTTTTTTTTTTTTTTTTTTTTTAAAGAAATGCTTGCGTTAATTTGTGCCTATGGCACCAGTAAATCTTGCTTGAAAAAAATTTAATTTAAATTTTTTCTGTTCTGTTATGAAATGTAAAATGTCTACAATTTAATTGCATGCCAAAATTTATGTTCAATATTCACACAAACACACTTACAGCACTCACACTCACATTAACGTCGCAAAATGGATTCACCTAAAAATAACGTGAATAAATACGAATATTTTACAATATTAAAACGTATGCGTTCAAATGTCATAAAATTCGCTAGTAAATTGCCACATTTTATGCTCGCTCAAGTGAAGTCGTCGCGCTCAGGTGTGCGTTTTCATATGGCATTCTGTGTTGCCAAATAAGCCTAACTGCCAACACTTTATCACATTTTACAGGCATTTCTACCGCCTACAGCCAACCTCAACGCGCCAGCCAGTTCGTGAGCCTTTTACACTGTGCTAGGCGATAGCGTAGAGTGGGTTGTTGGCGTGTTGTGGTGTGGAAATGAAGATGGAGTTGAGGTGAGTAGAGCAGCAGAGTGAACTTATTTACGCACACTTTGCCTGGAGTTGGTGTTAATAATTGCCTCAAACATTCGCATAAATAGATGACGAACATGTGCATACATATACATATATTTGCGAGTGGGTGTGAGGGCACTTAGGCGCCATTGACGTCGCACATTTGTAAACAAAAAAATGGGTCATTCATACTAACAGCTTTGGTTGCATCTCCGAGTTGACGCCTTCCTGTCAGCTAGCTAGCCTACCTGCTTGGCTGTCAAACCACATGCATGCGGTGCAAGTGTTTTAAATGGAAAGTCAACAACAATGTTAATGAGATACACGGTGAAAAATTGCAGTTCCAATTGACGACATAGTGAAAAGGAATGGTTGTTGTCTAGCAATTTTTTAACTGACATCTGAACTAAAACAGCGCTGGAGGCAATGGAATTTTGATTTCAAACATTTTCACTGTAATTTCACATGATGTCAGGAGGTTACTCAAAATAATACTATTTAAAATTTTAAAGAGTTTTGTATACCGAATCTAGTATACTCCACGCGTAAAGACATCGGGTTTGGAGAACTTGTATCAAAAATAACCCGATTAAAGATTTAACAAGCATTCCTATAAACTTGGGCTACATATGAGAGTGAGTTGGTTGTGAGAGCTCGAGGTTGTCTCATTATAGCCTAACTTTTTCGACCGATTTCTTGCCCGAATTCTACCATTCAAATCTATAAAGAGGATTCCTGTTAACAGAGAGTGTTATTCCCATAACTTCTTGCCTTTAGTGTTGCTAAAAGCTTGGGTTAGTGGCGTGGTAAACAAATATAGCCCTCGCCATACTCCTTTTATACTTTTTGTGGCTCCTCAGCTGACGTTCACCACATCACAATCATGGTCTGGTTAGCGTAAGTGTCAAACGTTTTCGCCCAGTGATAAAGCGAGAAATCGCTTAAAAAGAAATACAGTGTACTTTGAATAAAGTCATCTCTGTAGCTGAGGAATTTCACAGCTTGAATCCAGTGCATTGACGTAAATAAATAATATCTTCATTCACAAAACTGTCATTAGATGAATCGCATAAAGCACAAGCCATTTGAATCAGCGCTAATTTTGCGTACAAACATAATGACGGGCAATTGCCATTAATATGGCATACCGTATACACTGTACAAAGACCATGGCAGATGAAACTTTTACCTCGCGGTACGGATTGAGAGCGGATATTCCGAACAGAAGAATCTTGAAATCGTATGTTAACGTACACTGTTGTGTGGTCGAGAGAAAATTGCAAAATCGAAAAACTCGCTTCGAAATATTATATATTAGAAACCAAGTTTACCAAATTTTCCGACGAAGTAGCTGGGAAAAGTCATCCTCTCGATGCAACGCTCTTATTTATGTAAACGTTTTTTTTTCAACATTTTTTTGCTTTCCCTCAATGCATTCAGCGATTCTTTTTGAATCTCAACCTTCAAACGATTCAAAACAGTTTCCGCATAGCGTTCTTTTGAACTTATTGATCAGCCGATAGACACACGAAGCCAGATAAGCTGAACACTGCGGTTGTGAAGCAAATATCAGTTGAATTTTTAGCGAAAACGGAAGATCAGGGTTCGAGTCGTAGTCCGACTAACTCGCAAAATTATAGATTCATTTTTCTAATTGCTGTTGGCCCTCAACAGGGAATGTCACGACGTCCGTGTGCATTTCTAACATTAAATAAAATCGCCTTATAAAAATTCAACGACACAGAATAAACTGTAGGTCTATCTATTTGTTGGACATTTGAGAAGGATCTTGGCTGAAAATCGCTTCAGCGAATAAAAAGCGTCAGTTTTACATATATAATAGAATAGTAAATAATGAAAACAGCAAGCAAAATCGCTCCCTCTGATCTCTTTTGTTTTATGTGGCCTAACCTAATGGCGAAAAAAGTAGTGCTCACTAGTTTGCTCAGTAGTTCTTTTGCTGGCAGTAGAAAGAGTGAGAAAGAGAGACTCAATAGTCGATGCAAATAATAATTGTAAGTTTGCTTTCGCCATGCCTTGGCGAAGAGTCGACCCCACTGAATTCTGTGACCGATTGGCATTGTTGTTGTTCATGGTGTATTATTAAATATATTATAAAGGGTGATTTTTTTAAGTGCTATAGGAAAGTTTCCAAACACAAAACACATAAAATTCAAAAAAATGCATGAAATCTTTATTTGAATCGATAGTACGGTTCATATAATTTAATGTTTGAAGATTATTTCATGCAATGTTGACCGTGAATGCGCCTAAAATGGTCCAACCGCTTAGTCCAATTTTGACACACTCTTTCCAACATTTCGGTCGGTATCTTTCGAATAGATGCTTCAATGCTGTCCTCCAATGCGTCAATTGAAGCGTGCTTTTCTGTATAGGCATTAGATTTAACATAGCTCCACAAAAAATAGTCTAAAGCCGTAAATAGCACGATCAAGGCGGCTAATTGACCGGTCCCGAACGTGAAATAAAGTGTTCACCGAATTCGCCTCTCAATAAGTCCATTGTTACACGTGCTGTGTGGCATGTGGCACCATCTTTTTGAAACCACATTTCATGCAAGTCAAGCTCTTACATTTTGGGCAAAAAAAAAAGTTTGATGTCATCTCACGGTAGCGCTCACCAGTCACAGTTACCTTACGATTCGCATCATCTACCGGCCGAAATGTTGGAACGAATTACGGTCCAATTTTGCCACCAGCCCATAAACTGCACCAAACTGTGACTTTCTCTGAATGCATTGGCAGCTCTTGCAATGCTTCTGGATGATCTTCTCTCCGAAATCGACAATTCTGCTTATTTACGCATCCATTAAGCCAAAAATGAGCTTCGTCGCTGAACACAAATTTTCGATAAAAAAGCGCGCGATGAACTTTCTTAGCAAAGCACGCATTCTGATAATAAAATTCAATAATTTGCAAGCGTTGGTCGCTTGTAAGACGATTCATAGATAAATTATAGACCAAACTGAAGATGTTTGGCAGTGATACAAAACACCAAACGTGCATCAGCTGTTTAAACCAGTGTTGCCATTTATTTATTGTTGCAGCATTTGTGCAATATTGCAATTTGTTTACGTCTGCCATTATTCATGTCCTTGAAACTTCATCACGCTATCTAATTTCATTCATTTTATTTTCGATATTCATGTTTCATTGGCGGCATTTGAATGTGAAATATGTAAAGGAGATTATTTTATTTTCTGTATTCTACTACTAATTAATCAATTTTCCATAATTTTCCAATTTTTGCTACTAGTATTTTTAAGACCAACTTCATACTGGTTAAATACTAGTTAATTTTTACATGCTGAATTTTTACATATCATTAGAGAACTGATATGTTTTGCATCTGCAAAATTCTAGTTTATAATTGGAATTTTTGCATAGCGGTTTCCACGAAAATCAAACTCTAATGAAGGTGCCTCTGCCCAGCTGGCTGATGTCACCGCCGTCCTAGAAGTGCGTTACAGCGGCCATATAAATGAGCGCGAAATTTGATGTCGAATTCGTGGTGGGAGAGAGAATCCGTCGTTAAGTACTGGCATTCACCCCGGTGTATGAACGTCCCGCCCTAATACACATCGAAGCAAAATTTAATAACATAGTGAAGAGAAAACAGACTACATACCTCGCAACCTTGCGGTCGACCACAACACCAGCAGGATGGGATAGAAACGCATTTGTAGGAAAGAAATTAAAGAAGGCGAAATGCATAAGTATGAAGAGCTTGAGAAGCTGGATAACGTTAAGCAACACTAAAAGCTCTGTCAGATTCGAGAAGGACCTTTCCAACCCGTTCGATACCTAACGAGGTTTCAGACAAGGTGACTCCTTATCGTGTGATTTCTTTAATTTGATGCTGGAGGAGATAGTAAGTGCTGGAGAGCTGAATAGAGAAGGCACAATATTCTATAAGAGTGGACAGCTGCGTGTGTTCAGCGAAGAAAGAAACTGTGCCTACGTTGGCTAAATCATCTCGTCCGAATGGATGAAAGCACTCCAGCTTTGAAATTATTCGATGCAGTGCCCGACGGTGGAAGCAGAGGAAGAGGAAGACCACCACTCACCACTACGTTGAGTGATCTGGTTTCAACACTGTTACAGACACTTTTATTTACGCTTACGTCATACCTACGCTGCAAACCAATTTATTCCTATAACAAAAAAAAAAATACATATTTCAACTTCTGCAGACATCAAGATTATTTTTAACTTTTAATTATTGCATTTTAAACGCATATTTTATTTTATTTTACTTTAAATTATTTAACTTAAAATTATTTCGCTTTATGCTTTTATTTTATTTTAATTTTTTTTACTTTTCTTCATTTCATTTTATTTTTTCTTTCATTTCATTTTATTATTTTTTTGATATAAATATATACATACATATTTATTTACAATTTGTAAATGCTACCGTACAGTATCATATAACCATAGTAGATATTTCCTTTGAAGAACTGCGTGCGTATAACCCAGTGTAGGGGCGGTAAAAACGATGGAAACAAATCTGGATCTATGGTGTAGTTCTTCACATAGTACGATGTGTTCTGGAAGTTGAAAACAATTTTATCTTAAGTGATATGTATTATTTGATAACAAATTTTAAAAAAGTAACAAATTGTAAATAAGCTTTTAAATACTGCATATTTAGGCACTGATTTACTTACCGCGTGCAGTGGACACTTCTTGGGAAAAGTGCTCACGCGCCTAATCTCTTTTGATAAAATTTGCAATAATCTATTTTTGCTGTAGGCGGCTTCCATCATTTGGCAGCCACTTTGCGTCGTATTTAATAGATTAATTTTGGTATTATCCGCACGCAGCATATCCAATTTTATACGAGCTGTAAAATATGGAAATGCATCCCTTAATATAACCTCAACATACACTGTTGCTTTGTTGTCCACATTGTAGTAATTATAATTGAACGCAGTGAAGTTATGTGTATGACCCGAAGTGTAATTCATATAGAACATTTTCATGCCATAGGTTCGCTAAAAGAATATATTTTAATTGGAACTTCTTTTTTTAATTTTTCTTTAAAAATATTACTTAGATTTACCTTGCACCCGCAAAAATGTAGTAGCGATTGCATTATCAACAGCGAATATAATAATTCACTATGTATGCTTTTCATCATTCGTTTTCTATAAATAGGAAATGACTGAAAATTGAGATTTTAACTCGAAATTTACAAAAAGCTGGTGATGTTTTCATTAAACTTATTAAAAACTTTTTAGTGCGCGACAGAGCGAAAAAATTATTGCGTTCATTCCCACATATATGCTATATTTATACCCATCTCCACTTTGTAGTAGGTATAGAAACATATTATAAAGCAAAATAAAATAAAATAAAAACTAAAAAAATATAAAAAAAATAAGAAATTAAAATCTAATCAAATGATATAAAATAAAACAAAATAAAACAAAATAAAATAAAATAAAATAAAATAAAATAGAATAAAATAAAATAAAATAAAATAAAATAAAATAAAATAAAATAAAATAAAATAAAATAAAATAAAATAAAATAAAATAAAATAAAATAAAATAAAATAAAAAGAACCTTAATATTATTGAGTTTCAGTAGAAAAATAATAGAAATTCGCACATTGAGTGTTCATTATTTAAAAAATTTTACCATTTAAATAAAATGACTTGTTTTCTGATTGGTTCTCTTATAAAAAAAAATTTTATATAAGCCAATGTGTTGGCTTGTAAAGTGGTGGGCATTTAAATAATATGTTTTTTGCTAAAAGTGAAAGATTTTATTATTATATTTTTATATGTATGTTAGTTATTATTGCCAAATTTGTCGGTGAATTTTATTCGCTTCTTCTCCGTAAAAACATTACTATCAAATTGTATTTTGCATTGAGAAATCAAACAATTCACAACCATTAAAAGGTATATAAAATAAATAACTTTTTCTATTATTAGCGCGCAACATATCTACATTAGTGGTAAAAATGAAATCCATTGAATTTTTATTTAAATTAAATTCAATATATATTTTCGCTATATAATAGTTACTGCATTTGAAAATTTCAAATCTATTCTTTTGTACACCCAGTGTAGCTTAGAGTGAGATTCATGTGCTAAAATTATGCTGGAAGTATAAAAAATATATATATTTTTGCATTAAATAATAGGAAACTAATTCATTTTTACCATGCCAATATTTTTGTCGGCCAGTGGAAGAGTTAATGGAGCAGTTTACTCATTTCTACACAAACGCCCAGCCATGTACTGACTATGGAACTCTAATTAAGCCGTATTTTTTTAATTTCCATTAAAAGCTTTGTAGTGCATATTAAAGCGGTTTCGAAGGAAATTGGTTTATAATGACGTAACTTACATACAAACATACCATTTACACAAAAACGATCTATGCTGTGTGTCATTAACACATTTTTTTTAATTCTTCTCGATTTTTGAATTAAAATTTTTTTTTTTTCATACTATTTTTTAAGGATTTTTTTTTAAATTTCATTTTTAACTCGAGCTGCGAATAATTCATATTTTCGAGTCAGTCAGGTCTAATAGAAATATCTGAATTGAGTTTAAAATGTCGTAATATAATAAAAAATTTAAATTGTATGTAAATATTTCTTTCTGTTTTAACAGATTTTTGTTTTGAGGGATCTTTTATTTCTGGCCACTTAAAAGTGCAAAAAGAAATTTTAAAAATAATTTACAATAAAATACAAAAAATTGACGAACTTCTTTTAAACCCCCGGCTTTTAAACGCAAACATTCGCATTTAATGGCGCGCACAGACACACACACACACACTGGCATACCACAATTATACACACCTACTTAAATGGATAAGTCAATGTGTAGAGCGTGTGATGAATGCATAAGCCCCTGCAGCTAATACAGGTACATATACGTGTATGTATGTACGTGTGTATGAGGTATCATTAAATGTGTGCGTTAGTGACATGAAAAGGATTCAGGATTCAACTGGATAGACGAATTCAGGTGAATGTACATACATTCAAACTAACAAACAAACATATATATATATATATATATACATATATACGTAGATTGCGCGTTTTACTTCGCACGTGTGGTTTAATCCACGCACACACACAAACACATACAGATACATACATACGTACATACATATATGAATATGCATGTAAAATTGCAATTTGTATGTTACCCATCCGCCTGAGGCGTTTGAGTAGTCGTGTGGGTGTTGTTAATAGTGTTTGCTTCTAAATCATTCATGGGAATTCTTTTCGATTGCTGCACCGGTGGCATAAGTGAGATGAAACGCGAGTGAAAAAACCCAAAAAAAAAAAAACTTTTAAAAAATAAAATGAAAAACTACTCTACTGTTACACAACCACTCAGCATCACCAGCCATCTACGAAGTCAAGCGTGACAGCAAAAAATTAGAATAAATGAAAGCGCAATTAAAACGAAACAAAAACGATGTGAGAGAGGTACACCAGGAAGCGAATGCTATTCTATGCTTTATGGGGGGGCGCGAAAATGGGTATTACTCATATCTACCCACATGCATGCGTGTATGTATTTGTGAAACTGTTATATAGTGTTTATCTAAGTGATGATAAAAGTGTGGCTGATGGTAGATAAAAAATAAAATAAAATAAGACACCAACAAAAGTGTGACAACGGAAGCGGAAGTGAGGTTAACGAAACCGTGTAGTGAAAATAAATGAAAAAAAAACGCGAAATAATAAATGAAACCCAAAATGCATGCTCATATGGATCATCGGCGAAGTCGAAATTGCTGTTGAAATAGTGATGAAAAATCAGAAAATGAAAACAAAAACACACACTCATGAAAGGGTTCTAGTACTTGACTGAAGTGCTAGGGGAGTGTCAGGCAAGCAATGGCAGACTTGTTGAAGCTGTTGCATAGAGCGGAAAAAAGTACAATAAAAAATAATTTTTGTCAATACACAGTATTTGTTGGTGTTTTTGTAGTTGTTTTTTTTTTCAAAAATAAAGATATTAAAAAAGTAAAAATTATAAAAAAAAATTATTATAAAAGTAAATTTAGACTATTTGCGATATGGCCATGAGATATCACATGATATAACATCACATCGCCTGTTATCACAAAAATATCACATAATGCGGCAAGACTTTGTGAACTTAATATTTTTTTCCAAAAATAAAGATATTGAAAATATAAATAATATAAAATGAATTGTTATAATAATAAATTTAAACTACTTGCTATGTGACCATGTGAATATCACACGATGTCACATCACATCGCATATTATCATAAATATCACATGATGTGACAACACTTTGTGAACTTAATATGATTTCGGAATTAAAATATATGTATAAGGATGATATCATAGGACAGCGTTGGAAGGCTTATAATGGGATAAAATAGAATATCCAAGGATTATAGGGCATGATAGATGGGATATGTCAAATAGGAGAAGGAAGAATAGGATCCGATGATAATAAGAGATAGAAGAAAATGCGATAGGATAGGACAACATAAAATTTGATAGGAATGGGTCAGAAAAGATAAGATAAGATAGTATAGAGCAGGATAGGATAGGATAGTATAGAGTAGGATAGGATAGGATAGAATAGGATAGGCCAAGGTATGAAAATGGAATATAGAATAGAATACAATAGGACAGGATAATAAAAAATGGAATTGGGATAGGGCAGGATAGCGTAGGATCCAAATCGTCGAATAGATAGGATAGGGTGGGAAAATATAGGATTTGATAGGTTAGAATATAAAAGGTTGAATAGAAAGAGTTTGAGATAATAGTATAGGAAAAGGTTGAGTGAGTTAAGATGAGATATGATATGGTAAGACAGAGTAGGGTTTGAAATATAATAAAAAAGTATGACAGGATGGGTTCAAGTATGAAGAATAGGTTGGATTTTTTTTTGCGGGTGAGGAGAAGAAAAATGCCTTCCGCATCATCATTGTGTTGTTACATCAGTGGTATGTGCCATTTGCAGATCACTAAAAAACTCTCCTCTAGGGAACCGTCGCCCACCCTGAAACCGCTGTCGCTTTACTTCAGGGTGGCGCGCCATTTTTCTCGTATATCTCGCCACCTGCGTTAAGGTCCCGCTTTTTCGCTTTACTGAGATAATATTATCTACTTTTAGGACTCCAACTGTGTCACCAAGTCTGATTCTCCCGTCTTGCCAGCGAGTGCATTGGAAGATTGTATGCTCGGCGTCACCTTCGTTAGAATCCTTATAGATACATGATGATTCTTCAGCTTTCCCTATTTTATGCAGCTATTTTCTGAAATATCCGTGACCATGCAGCATCTATGTAATGTAGTAGTCTACTTCCTGAGTTTCCTAGTTATCCATATTCTGACGCCTGCACTGGATCAGGGTTTCTTTCATTATGTCCTCTTTGTTTGTACTGACAGTGCATCCTTGGTTCTTCATTTTTTTTAACGTCCAGTTTCTTTACTACTCGGCTGCCAATAGGTCGATGGGAACGCTTCCGCTTATTACAGCTTTAGCTTCCCCGGAGACTGTATGGTATGCCAACGCTACCCTCAAAGCCGCCGTGCGGTATACTTTGGCCAGTACCATTCGCCTATTATTCTTCTTAAGTGAGTGCGCCCATAGCTCGGCTCCATACAGTAAGATGTTAAGGGTTGCCGCCATGACAAGCTTCCTTTTCTCTTAAGATCGACCATCTCTGTTAGCCATTAGTATACCAAGCTGAGAAGGAGAAGGATAAGATGGACTAAAGTAGAGTAGAACTGATATTAATGCCCGAAGAGGGTTAAAAATGGTTCATAAGATTCACTTCACTTTACTGCATCTGATTAACGTAGCGATTGAGAAGCTTACCTCACCTGCCGCCATTTAGCTTCGACAAGGCGTTTAGAAAAAAGAGATTTCATGCTTGAGAGTTATTGTTATTGTTAGGTAAACAAAATTTTAATGAACTTTGCTAATAGTTCGTGTAATGGAAAGTGCGGGTAACTCTAGCTGGGTTAAAATTCTTCTCTCTTTTAGTTTTCTCTCTTTTGGCACTTACTGCCTTAATTGTGGATGAATCACTCACTTCATAAGTTGATTTTCTCTCTACACTTCGCTAATTTTTTTATTTATTCATTTAAATTACTCACGACTAACATATACTCCGCGTGACACCGATGTATGTGTGTGTATGTGTGTGGACCGTTTGTTATGAATCACATATCGTTCCTGTTGGTTTCTTTTTTACAAAGTACCAAAGTAGTAAAACACCTGCTCTCTCAAGTGCCATTGTGTGGTGCATCTGGGGCTTGTGTGACCAGCTGCCATTTGTGCATGCTG